TTTGTGAAAATTAGGGTTTGTAGTTTGTAGTTTTGAGGATTTGAAATTGAATGTGTGAAATTTGAGGGTTTGAGGACTATTGGCATGGCGGCCAAACGGCTAGACCTAATCCTTCGGAGGTGTGAAATTAATTATAAAGATGCGGCAGAAAATAAAGTGCGGAAAGATAAATGCGACAATTGTCTCGCAAAATTACATCCCATAAGCAGTTACAAATATGATAATTGAATATTTAAACTGAAAATAAAATCAATTGAACTTAGTCAGCTGCAAAAAACCAAAACAAACCGAGACTGTTATTATACGGGGTTAGACAAAAAATTAGACGGGAATGTTAGGAATTTAAGTAGAAACAAGAAAAAAAGTTAGAAATTTGGATCTTAAAAATGAGGATGTTAGCGAAAAATTAATAAACAATGAAAATTAATATGCAAAGAAGATGGCGATAATATACAAGTGATAATGGAATATGAAATAGCAACGATGATGTCAGATTATGTACAAATATAAAAATAAATACAAAAATAAATAAATAAATATTAGTGAACAGGTTCATGGATAATCAAGAATACTGTTAGGAATGAAGGATGAAAATTGGAATTGACAATAATTAGAAGTTAAGTGATGAATGTTTTGAGACGGTGAGAATTTAGGTAATTAGAAAAGAGTTAGAATGGAATTAGGTTTTTTTTGTGAGATTTGGAAAAGTTAGAGTTTTTAATGTGATTAAGAAAAAGAAAATAGATTAAAAGTTAGCAAAAAAATTAGAACTTCGAAATTTGGTTTTTAAAAAAAAGGTTAGAAAATAAAAATAAAAGTTTGAAAATAAAAGAGAAAAGGTTAGAATTTTAATAAAAAAAGAGTTAGAATGTTAGAATTTTAATTAAGAAAAAATGGTAGAAATTTTGAAAAAAAGATATAAAAAAGATTAGAAATTAAAAAAAAGAAGAGTTAGTTACTTTTGATGAAGACGGTAAGAGTTTTTTTGATGTTTGTCGATCCCTCCGTTTTGTTGCTTCTGAGGGTCCTTTTATACTTGATTTTTAAATCTTTTTCAATCTCATATTTGATTTGAATATTTCAATCTTTTTCAATCTCTGATTTGATTTGAATGAATTTTTATGATGATTTCAAATTTGATTCAATGATGGTGATGTTGATATTTAGATCTGATTTTCTTATGATGATGATATGATCTGATTGATTTGATTTTGCTCCATCTGTGATTTATTGTGATTGGATTTGATAAAAAAAAAGTGTTGGGATTTAAATTTAAAAATGTTAGCAAAGAAAGTTAGAGTTTCAAGTTAAATAAAAATTAGAGTTTTAAGTTTAAAAAAAATGAGTTAGAATTTTAAAATAAAAAAATATATTTGAATGTTGATTTTAAAAAATGTTAGAATTATTTTAAAAACGGTTAGAATTTAATTTTAAAAGGAATTTAGAATTTTAATTTGAAAAAGGATGGTGTCAAAAAAGATTTAGATTTAATTTTAAAAAAAGGATAGATTTAATTTAAAAAAAAAGGTTAGATTTAATTTTTAAAATAGTTAGAAAAAAAGATTTAATTTTAAAAAGAAGTTAGAGAAAAAAAAGATTTAATTTTAAAAAGAAGTTAGAGAAAAAAAAGATTTAATTTTAAAAAGAAGTTAAAAAAAAAGATTTAATTTTAAAAAGAAGTTAGAAAAAAATATTTAACTTTAAAAAAGTTAGAAAAAAAGATTTAGCTTTAAAAAAGTTAGAAAAAAAAGATTTAGCTTTAAAAAGGAGTTAGAAAAAAGATTTAATTTTAAAAAGAAGTTAGATTTTTATTTTAAAAAAGATATTAGAATTTGATTAAAAAAAATGTGTTAGAAATTAATTAAAAAAAGGTTATAAAAAAAAATTTACTCTTAAAGAAAAGAAAAAAAAAAGTTAAATTTTAATCTAAATCCTAAAAGTTAGTAAGAAGAGCTTAACATGATTTAAATAAATAAACTAAATAGAAAAGAAAAAAAAAGTTAATAAAAAAACATTAGTAAAGTTATAAAAAAAATTTAATTAAATTATTATTAGTTAAAAAAACAAGATTAAAAAAAAGGTTAATTTATTAAGTTAATCAGAATTTAAAATAAAAATAAAAAAGAAAGGGTAAAATTTGGGGTATTACAAACCCCATCAATGTTCAAATGTTTCACTCGACTGATTTTGATCACACACTATTCGAACCCAAATCTTCCTTGCACAATCCTCCTGTTAACGCTACTTGATTGAACGAACCCACAGTTCTTTAATTCCCTTCGCTCGGCTGAATCTATGAAGAATTTTTTTATGCAAAACCCCAAATCCTCGAGATCTTGAAGGACAAAACCCTAACGGTTTTATTCAAGAAAAATCCACCAAAATCTCAATCCAAAACGAGATACACAATTCTACGTTTGGACGTAATTGTTGAGAAAATTCAAGAATGAGGATGAAGATGATGAGAATAATTTGGCATATATCTTTCACTTTTCTTGTTGTATCATAAAATAATGAGACAAAATGTATATATGTGATGCCTTGACCAACTAACAAACATAACAACAATTTAAAGTGAGACAGATAAAAAAAATAGCAGGAATTTAGCGAGCGGTCGACCTAAGCTTGAAGGGGGTCGACCTGAGCACACCCGAGAGCAATACTAAGCAAAAATTGAAGTTGTGCGTCGACCGGAACAAGGTCCATCTGTCGACGTAAGCTTGCCCAAAAATTACAAACACAAAGACTTACAGTATGAGTCGACCAAAGGGTCGACGCGAGCACACCCGAAATCAAAGGATAAAAAATCAACTTATATGAGTCGACTATAGTAGGGTTTGAGTCGACTTAAACACCCTAAACTACCAAAAATGAATTTTTGCTCATAGTTTGGTCCACTTATGCTACGTTTATGCATACCTAAGTCACCTATCATGATCAAATACATACAAAACATATATGAGATGCTCCTATATGTATAAACGCGTGATTTTGGAATATTTTGTGCATTGTAAAGTATGAATGCAAGCTAAGACGCGATGATACCGTCCAAGTTACAAAATACGAGCTAATACACATTTTGACATCATTAAAATAAGGACCAAGACACCTTGCCCTTATAATGTATAGGCTTACAAATTGAGCATTTGGGCAATGAAATATTTGTACACCGAGAATGTTATATAGAAAAAGTGTTAAAACACTTCTATATGGATAAATCTCATCCGTTGTCTACTCCAATGGTTGTTAGATCATTAGATGTAGAGAAATATCCTTTCAGGATTTGAGAAAAGGATGTAGAATTGTTTGGTCCTGAAGTACCATATTTCTGTGTGGTTGGAGCACTGATGTACCTTGTTAATTATACACGTTCTGATATATCATTTGCAGTCAATTTGTTAGCAAGATACAATTTTTCACTTACACGAAGACATTGGAACAAAGTCAAACATATACTTCGTTATTTTAGAGGTTACTTGTAAGATCCTTATAATGGTAGATCACAAACAAGTTATTTGTTTACATGTGGTGGTAGATTTATTTCATGGAGACTGGTGAAACAAACAATAACAACAACTTCATCTAATCATGCATAAACTTTAGCACTACACGAGGCAAATGGAGAATGCATTTGGTTGAGATCCTTAATCCAAACACATATAAAATACTTATGGTTTATCTTCTGAAAAATAAATACAACAACAGTATATGAAGATAATACTACATGAATCGCTCAATTGAAAGATTATTACATTAAAGGAGACCGAACAAAACACATTTCTCAAAAGTTATTTTTTACTTATGATCTTCAGAAGAATTATGATATAAACATCCACAAATCCGTTCATGTGATAATCTTGCAGACTTTTTCACAAAGTCACTCTCAAGTAGATCTTTTAATCAACTAACACAAAAGATTGATCTTCATCATCGAAGAAATGATCGTTCAACTGAGGGGGAGAAATGAATTTATCTTAAAACGATATTGTACTATTTTTCCTTCACTAGATTTTTTCCCACTGAGTTAGGTTTTAACGAGGCATAAAGATGCACGATCAGTTATGAACAATTGAATGTTTGTCTCTCAATAATCTCATTCCTTTTATAACACATTGTATTTATTACATTGTCTTTATGATGTCCTATAAATAAGATCAATCTCATTATAGAAAATTACACCAATGAAATAATATAGACAAATTATTCTCATCTTTCTTTCTTCTCCTTTATCTTATTTCTCCCTAATTCACAACATATGCCACTTAATCTTTGCAACATCATTCATTCAACTACTGCATCGCAAAAAGTGACATCCAAATAGAACGAGGGACTAAAATCCAAAAAATAAAGAACTAAAGCGACTTAAATCCCAGATTTTAAAACAGGGAGATTAAACTTAAAAAAAAAATGAAAATAGAAGAATCAAAATTGCAATTAAGTTTAAATAATACAACATACTTATATTAATAAAAAATAGTCCAACCCAACAAAAAAAAAATAGTATAAAAATATGTACATACAGCTCTGTTCGATTTTGAAAAATCAATCTAAAATTAGTTTCGAGTCAAGCAATTTTTACAAAAGTTTTATCCATACACATTGAATAATATTAATTTTTTTCTTTCATTTTTTTTATATTTTTTTGAATCGATTATCAATTTTTATTGAATAATATTTAAACATGATCTTGCCTTACTTGTTTATACAAGTGTTTACCTTTTCAAAAACTATTTTTTTAATCTATTTTTAATTTTAATAAAGAAAAACAATGAATTTTTTAAAAACAATTCTTATTAAATTAAAATATTTAAGCAAACACAATTAAAAACCACAATATATTACTTTTGTTAAAAAAACTGATTTGTGCTTGTAATACGACGTCGCAGCAGCTCGTGAAACAGTTGAGAAAGTGAGAGGGAAAAGTGGAGAAGGGGTTTCTATTCAATCAAATGCAAGTTTTTTTTCTTTCAGTAATGAAGTTTTTGATTCCGAAACCCTAAATGGACGCGAAAGATATCCTTGGATTACCCAAAAACTCGTTCCCTTCTTCAATTGAGAAAAAATCTCGACCTCCCAAAGAGTCTCAGAGAAAACCTGATGGCATTTCTCGCGAGGTATGGTACGATTCGATTGATTTTTGTTTGTTTGTAGTTAATCACTGGTTTGAATTGAATTGATTTGTGTTTTTAGGTTTATGCACTTACCGGTGGTGTGCCACCTCTTATGCCCGCTGTTGATGCTTCACAATTGAAGAAAAAGCCTCCTACTGATGAAAAGGTTTTGTTTTAGGCAATGTTTGGATGAATGGATTAATTAAGTGTTTGTAAATACAAGGTTATCATATAAGTGCTTATTTAGAAGCTATTTCTATAGCAAAATATAAATATATATAGTTAAGCTGTTTTTTTGTATAAACTAGAAATTATTATTTTAATAAGCTATCCTGGAGAGCTTATAGACATAGGGCCTGTTTGGATTGGCTTATTCGAGCTTAATTATGTAAAAACAATTTAAATTTATTTTATTTTATTTTATTTTTTCTTAAAAATAACTTATGCAAGCTTATTCACAAGTGTTTATTTTGATAAGCACTTGTTCTATTAGCTGCAAATAAGCTGTTTATCTAAACAGGCCCATAATAGGATAACAGCTTATAAACTTATGAACATGTTATAACTAGTGCTTATGTTAGTAGGTAGCTTAAGTAAACCAATCTAAGCAGACCCTATTTCTTTTATTAGCTTATTTTGCCTATGTAATGCTTAATCACGTTGGTTATTGAACTTCTTATGTTCTTCAGGTTACTTGGCAGTGGCTTCCTTTCACCAATTCTGCTCGTAAAGATGATCTTAATCTTTACCATTGGGTCAGTCACAGTACCAATTATTATCTGTGATTATTTACGAGCATGCAAGTATTATTGTTTAATGTTTATGTGTATCTTCTTGTCCAGGTTCGAATAGTCAATGGTGTTCTACCCACTGGAGACTATTCCTTTGCCAAGTATAACAAGGTAGCTAAATTCATGTTACTACTCTTTGTCTTCCTGCTTCCTCTGCAATGCTTACCTTTTTTGGTTTTGCTGTCGAATTTGATTTTCGAAATCTTCTATTGCTGTTGTGCAGTCTGTTGATATTATCAAGTACACAGATGAGGAGTATGAAAAGTATTTGACCGATCCTGTGGGTAATCATGTCTAATTGTACAATTTTAAGGATATTTATAGATGAATTTGCTTAAACTACAATTTTGCATAGTTTGTGCAATCTGTACTGAAATTTATTCTATCTAATGTACTGAATTGTGATTGTGGGCCCTTCGTTGCCTTCTAGTGTAAGGGACGTGGGGAACAAATTCAATGTTTTTTTGTTGTACTTTGTGTATATAACTGTAAGATTTGTTAATTCATGATCCCTTATGTTGAAGGTTATAAATAATATTTCCATAAAAGAGATGGATATTGGATTATTCTTGTGTTGGCTAATAAGAACAATCTATGCTGGTACAGTCCTTGTAGTGTTTTCTTTAATTAATAATTTAACACCAATTTTATGTAAAAAGTACAATTTAGTATGATGTGGGATTAATTTAATATTTTGTGTGAATGAGTTGACAGCAATAAGATTCTAGAAACCTGAGCAGAATCATATCAATCACAAGTCTAATTTGGTTTTGGCTATGGAATATTGGCCAGATTTCTTATCCACATTTGCTGAGGGTTATCTATTGTGAGGCAAACTACTAGTGTAGTAATCGACATATATTTATTCAATAGTCAGATGTTGCATATAGGATATTCAAAATACAGAGGAATTCAGTTTGTTTGAAGTGACATTTTATTCGACAATTTATGTTTTGACTTTTGACTGACCTTATGTTTGCCATAGTTAAGGGTTATATGGATGGCTTGGTGGCTGGGGTGGGGGAGTTAAGGAGTGGAGTGATAAGGTCGCTTATTTGCAACGGCTTCTTTTGTACATTGCATCCACTGCACATTGTATCGTATAAAATTATCTACTTATTACTGCAATTGTGAAGCTCTATGAGTTTGTCTATTGAATGTTGAATTCATTACTCTATGATTTTGTCAATCAAACGATTTTACAATAATCTCTTTTACTATGTGTTCAATTCATTACTCTACCTGATTCTGCTTTATTTACCTAGACGTGGACCAAGGAAGAGACAAATGAACTATTCGACTTGTGTGAGAGGTTCGATCTTCGTTTTGTTGTGATAGCTGACAGGTTCACATCGTCTCGGACTGTTGAGGAGTTAAAGAATCGATATCATAGTGGTATGTCTTTGTTAGATGCCACGATTCAGTTTCTTTAACTCATACTTTTAATTTTGATGATACGGAGACTGCATGCACAAAAATGATTTTCTGAACTTAGTTTTTTTAATTACATGTCCCTGTCATGCAGTGTCGCGGGCTATATTACTTGCTAGGGCTACATCTTCAGGGGATGTGGCAACACATCCTCTCATAAAGGTGAAGTCAAATTTTATCTTAATGTTTGACTCTTTTAGTATACTACTTGTCTTAAGCCACTGCCATGTGGCTATTGTAACTTGTTTTTCTTTTTCAATGTAGGAACCTTATAATGTTTCACAAGAAATGGAACGTAAACGGGCACTGTCCATGGTCCTCTCCCAAACAAGACAACAAGAGAAAAGAGATGAAGAGGTCTTGTCCTTTAAAGAAAAAATAATACTTTACCGTTTCTGCCTTTGGTTTAACTTCATAGTAAATGAAGTATGTATGGCTTTTATGCAGGTTCTTATTGAAGCAAAAAGAATAGCCGAGTTACGGGTGACTTCGAAGGTAAAAATTTCAAGATTGAGGAGTAATTATTATCAAAATTCAAGATCGAGTTTCTTATTATCTAGTTCTGATTAATTGATTAATCTTGATTATAAATTCTTACACACCACTTTGAGTACTGGGGAATATTTCTGGGTATGATATGCAATTTTTCTTTTGCATGGGAGTTAAGTTACTAAAGTTAGAGCTGTGTACTTGTAACTTAATAATTTTCATTGACAGTAAAATATATGTTGAAGTAGTGTTCTTGAGTCACTTGTTCCCGATTTATAATTACCAATTTGAGGTTAGAAAATTTGTGGAATGTATTCACATGACCTAGTACATGCATATTTGTGCCTGGGATTCTGATTTTATAGATTTTTCAGGTTACTGAACAGTCTCAAACGGCTGTTGCTTCAAATGCTGATGCAGGAGTTACAGAGAGGGCTGTCCCTGGTGAGACTATATCTCCATCGAATGTGCAACTTCCACCAATGGTTGTTCCTCCATTGGCAGACAATGCTTCTACTCTAGCTTCTCTTCGTATGGTAAGTTATGTAGAAGGTTTCCAATTCATGTATACCGCCTTTTCTCCATTTACATTTTTGTTCCAATTAAGTAACGCCTCTAAAACCCCACTCCTGCCTCTGTACCAAGGAGAAGTTAACAAGGATTCTACGAAAAGAATAGCCTTTTCGCATTATACGGGGTTGCTCACATAAACCAAACAATACCATAATATTCTATTGCAAAATGCAAATCATGTCAAACTATAAACTATTGAAATAAAAATCATTCTTAATGATTTTGTCTAATACTGCTTTGCATAGCTAGCCCCTAACCTCGAGAAAAGATGTAAGTTGTGTAGGCTATAAACAAGCTAACTTAAAACTCCGTTTTGTGGCATTGGCATAAACTAGGATACTCACTTTCAAAAATTTGATCTTGCATTGATCAAAATATTTCAAATAACATCTTTTCTTTTAATGAGAGGCAATTTGCACAGTTTATCAAAATTCTCATTCGTTATAGCATTATCTTATTGTGAGAATTTCAGCTTCGAGTATATTTGAGGACATATGCACTTGATCAAATGGTGCAAGCTTCAAACTCATCTGCTGGACTTCGGACTATCAAACGGGTTGAGCAAACATTGCAAGATCTTGCGGTTTGTCTGAACTACTTTAACTTTTAATGCAATTTACATATTTCTTCCTTTCTTAGATTGTTGACAAATTTATAGCTATTAACCAAATTAACCATCTTTGTCAATACTCATGAATTAGGTATGAAAATCATATATTAGGTCAGATATATGTCAAGTCCAAACTAAAATGTTTGTAATAAGTTGAGTTTGACTACATATTTGGGTTCATGATGCATTTTCTTTGGATTTGGTTCTATAATTCCAGGTCAATTTGAAACCAAGGGTTCCAACAAAAGCTGTTTGTGCAGAGCATCTTGAACTAAGAAGAGAAATACTAACTTGGCTGAATCTCCAGAAACAGGTATATCAGTATACGGTAGTGTTAGACCTCTTATTTATATGTGTATAACTATAAGATGAAAGGAAAAACTGATTATATCAGTCATAGGAAAATTGCTGCTAGTTAGGGACAGTGACTGCTAGTTATAGGGAGTTATTGCTGTGAGAAGTAATTAGTTATGTAATTATTTATGTTTATTCAGTTCTGGGTGCTGTGTAACAATAAAATAGAGTGATCCTGAACAGGGAGGGTTTTACATGGGAATTATTGAGTGGTTAGGGGGAGAGACCCAATTCTCGAACATTTGGGAGGGGGAGAGGCCAAGCTCTCGAATCTTGGAACGTCTATGTTCTCGTTAACTCCTTATAAACTTTCTGTCACTATTGTATTGTGTGCGTGTATGCAATCTGGTTGGGAATTATTCTACCAGAATTGTCACAATAAAGTGTTCGTCTTTTGCAACTTTCTGTCACTGTTCAGAACCAGTTTCTATAAATTTTCTTAGGGTTGCAGTATGCCTGTCTAATCTATGATTGTATATAGAATTAGCAACATTTATACCGACTTGTTTTTCCACCCCCCAATTTCTCTTGCAGGTGCAATATAAAGAGGCTGAAGGTTCATCTTTCCGTGACGGATCCTACGGTGAAACACCAGGCACACCAAAGGTCAGAAATTCGTATTTCCCCTCTATTGTTTTAGGCTTAAAATTTGGAAACAACTGACACACTTGCTTTCTGGTGGTGATCAGGATCGCACATTTATTCCCGACTCTTTGAATTTTGGAGGTAATATATACTATTAATTTTGTACGCACCTGCTATCTAATTTTCTATAAAATAAAAGAAATCATCTACTTAATATTAAATATATATCCATAAAACTATAGTTTCAGGCGAAAGGGTTAGCAAAAAGGACCAAAAACGCAAGGTACACAGTCTTTTGTCTAGTTACTCTCTGATTTGTTTTACATTTACTTTTGGACCAATTTAATAAAGTACTATTATTGATTATTAGTCTCGGAATTTTTACTTGTTTAGGCGCATGGAGCTCCACCTACAGCGGCCCATAAAAGACCTAGAAAACAAAAGGCTTCGGACCTTTAACTCCTACAGTAAGAGCTTAAATATGACACAGACTGCACCAGTAGGATTTGCTTTTAAAGGGACTAACTAGTAGGACTTGTTAAGCATCATATTTATTTCTAATGTAATATCTGCCTATCATTTGTGTGTGCTTCTGTAATATAATTTCTACAACTTCATAGGATTTGTTCTTTAATTTAAAGTTTTCCGTTATTTGTCAGGTGATGTGGAAAGGTGTTTCAATCTGTATAATTCCTTTTTAGGGTTGCATTGATATCAATCTTATGAATATTTAGGTGTAAGTTTATATCATCTTTACTTTCCTAGCGAAAGCTTTTCACTTTCTGTAGCAATTACTTAAAGCATAATGATAATTACGAATATGTTGTGGAAAGCAGCACTCAAGCACTTGGATGTTTTGATTGCTCAATATTTGTCTGCTTTAATAGTATAAATGATATTAAGAGAAAAATAATATTAAACACTGAAAATAGTTGAAAAAGTCACTTAGATTCGAATCAAGAGTAGTTCATGATTGAATCAAATGAACAAGTGAAGTGGAATAATAGAAAAACAGAGTTTTGACCTATTTTACAGTTGATTGAATCAGAGGAAAGTGTGATTCGAATCAAGGATCTCGTGATTTGAATCATGTGCAAAAAATGTTTCGGATCAAATGTAACAGCCTCAAATGAAAAATGCTGAAAAAATTGTTTGATTCGAATCATGTATAATATTTGTTTCGAATCAAATCAAGCAGAGGTAGATAGTAAGAAATTGATTTGAATCATGTGTAAAAATGATTCGGATCAAATGGTTAGAGGATCTCAGTTTTGCCTTTGTCCAATTTGATTTGAATTAAAATATGTGTTTGATTTCTATGATTTGAATCAAACATAAAATCTCAAATTTTCATAGTTTTGCAAGCATTTTGAGAATTTTCTTTGTATCAAACTCAAATAAAAAATATAAAAAATTCTTATTCCACTTATTCATGCAATCGATTAAAACAACATGATCAAGATATAATCAAATCAATGATTTATGTATGTTAAAAACAAATCTTTTTAAATTTGATCTGAGAATTGCAACCATGAAGGAAATTCAATAATCGAAAGTAAATCAAAGATGAAAACAATAAGACAAGCAACAAAATAACTGAATTAAAGCGCTCCCCCTAAATGAATTAGTGACATGCAACTATATTAATCAATTAGGCAGTGAGTTGACTTTCCTAATTGATTAAAAACACTTAATTGATTCCATGCTTGTTTGGATTGGTTTTGAGAAGTTTAATAAAAATAGAAGAGATTTGTAAATATTTTTTGTGTATTTGTGTGTGTGATTTCCTTAATACCTCAAGGATTACTCTCGTCCTTTTTACAATAAAAAGATTACTAAGCTCTAAACGTAAGACCAAGAAAGCTTTCACACTTTCTCACTTTCACAATTTTGAGATTTCACAACATTGAGACTTCAGTTCCTTTGCTCGATTTCAACGTTTTCTAAGCACTTCAAATATAATTTGAATTATCTAACTGATGAGGTTTGAGATATCTTCTTCTTGATCAGATGCCATAATCAGAAACTACTAAACACTTGCAATCAACTCCTCCTTTGAGAGTTGTCATCAATTGTCATCATCAAAATAAACTGATGGTTATACTTATACAACACATAGATCCACGTGAATAAAGCCAGACAAATGAATATTTTGGTTAAGAACAATTTTATTTTAAAAAATACTATCTCCTAGAGATAGGAATCGAAGTCAATCCAAATAAGTGTCAGGTTGTGCTCAACATGATGATCCCAAAAACCAAAAAAGAAATTTAATAAATAAAAATGTTGGTAGCTTTGTCGTATTTTATCTCTATGTCCTCTCATTATGCCATACCATTTTATAAATTATTGAGGAAGGTTACCACAATTGAGTGGACTCCAAAATCTAAGACAATTTTTACAAAGTTCAAAGAGGTACTATCACAACCACCTATTCCATTTCGTCCCAAAGATGAAGAGACACTTTTCATCTATTTGTTTGTATCATAAGAATCCACGAGGGTTTTTTCTAGTTTAGAAAGACACATCCTTCTAAGATTTGGTGTATTTCACCGTGAAACTATTGTAAGGATCATAAACACATTATAATAATGTGGAGAAATTGTAACAAAAACATGTAAATTAAGAATATATTTCTCAGCACACCTAGTTGTGGTAAGGATGAACTACTCCATACGATAAATGTTGGACTTTTCAAGTAGGGAGCATTGAACATGAGACTTTTTCTAAAGCAAAATTTGTGAGAGACACACCACATACTCACCCAAAACCTTAAGGTAATAGGTGTATGAACTATTATCCACCCTACTCACACTTGTTAATACTTAACAATAAATACTATTTAAATCAAATATAGCGAGAAGAATGAGGAAGTGAACTCTATAAGTTTGACATATCCTATGAACCTTAAAAAGTGCTAAAAAAAACAAAAATTTGATTGACTTCATCAGACCTTTTAAGAGCCATACACATGTTTTTAAGATCTTCAAGTTCCATGTCAATAGAAATCCTTCAAATTCTACCTAAAATCACTTGAAACAAAATCTTTGAATGAATATGATCACAAGAAACTCCAAAGCCTTTTTGAGAAGAACTTTTTTTTTCCTTCTTCGATATTCCACTACCAGAGTTTTAAAATAGATTTTTTTTTGCTTGAAACATTCAATCAAACATTAGTAGTCTAATGAGTTTCTCATAACAAATTCACACTCTTTCTAAGTCGAGTACCATTCTAACACAAGATGAAGTTTTAATATTTGAGGAATAAACATTTGATGAGGTTTGCGCTATTATTAGTGCACCTATGCTGTCTTTCAAGTAATTTATTCTTAGAATGCGTGTCCTCAAGAGATTGTGGTTACAACCACCATGTTCCCGCAATATGGGTACTATTACAACACCACACTTGAACTACATGATTAATGCTCACATAGACAACAACAACGTAAAACAAGCTCACAAATTGTTAGATGAGAACCCTTTATGTTGCAACATTGTTTCCTGGAACATGATTATGACTGCGTATGTGCAACACAATCAAATCGGACTCGCGCATAACCTGTTTGATAAAATGCCTCACAAAGACGCAGTTTCGTGGAACATCATGCTATCTGGTTTTCATAGAGCCAGAAATTCAGAGGGACTGTACAGTTGTTTCTTGCAAATGGGAAGAGCTGGTGTAGTGCCCAATGACTACACTGTCTCCACGTTGCTAAGAGCGGTTGTTAGTACTGAGTTGGATGTTTTGGTTTGTCAAGTTCATGCTATTGCTTTTCATTTGGCACTCAACTTGAATGTGTTTGTTGGGTCTTCTTTGATTAGAGCTTATGCAGGTTTAAGAGAGGAAGAAGCTTTGAGTAAAGCGTTTGATGATATATTGATGAAAGATGTTACGTCTTGGAATGCTTTGGTTTCTAGTTATATGGAATTGGGAAGAACGGTTGATGCTCAGACAATGTTTGATCTAATGCCTCTACGAAATATAATTTCTTGGACTACTTTGGTGAATGGTTATGTCAAGAACAAGCGAGTTAATAAAGCCCGGTCTGTTTTTGACAAAATGAGCGAGAGAAACGTGGTTTCTTGGACGGTAATGATTAGCGGGTATGTGCAAAACAAGAGATTTATGGATGCATTGGAGCTTTTTGCTCTTATGTTTAAGGCCGAAACTCGTCCCAATCATTTTACGTTTTCAAGTGTATTGGATGCATGTGCAGGTTGTTCCTCTCTTCTGATGGGGCTGCAGGTTCACCTGTGTATCATCAAGTCTGGGATACGAAATGATGTTATTTGGTTGACCTCTCTGGTTGACATGTATGCAAAATGTGGGGATATGGATGCAGCATTTTGTGTTTTTGAGTCTATTACGGATAAGAATTTGGTATCTTGGAATGCAATAATTGGAGGTTATGCAAGCCATGGGCTAGCTGCACGAGCATTGGAGGAGTTTGATAGGATGAAAATTGTTGGCGTAAAGCTTGATGAAGTTACATTTGTGAATGTGTTGTCAGCGTGTGTTCATGCTGGTCTTGTTGAAGAGGGCGAAAAGCACTTTGCTGATATGCTGACCAAGTATGGAATGCAAGCAGAGATGGAGCATTATAGTTGCATGGTGGACCTATATGGAAGAGCAGGGAAATTTGACGAAGCAGAAAAACTAATCAAGAATATGCCATTTGAGCCCGATGTGATGTTGTGGGGTGCATTGCTTGCAGCTTGTGGCATGCATTCAAATTTGGAACTTGGAGAGTATGCTGCTGAGAGGATTCGAAAACTGGAGAGCAACCATCCTATTTCTTACTCAATGCTTTCGAAGATCCAAGGTGAGAAAGGAATATGGAGCAGTGTGAATAAATTGAGGGATGCAATGAAAGAGAGAGGAATTAGAAAGCAAAAGGCAATTAGTTGGGCTGAGTGAAAACTTCTGTGCAATTCAGACAATTGGATTGGATTCACAGAAAAATGTAGGGTTGATTTTGGCTACCGCAAATCACTTTAAAAAAGCAATTGTTTAGCATAACTTTTCGGCGGAGCACTGACAGGTTGTTGCCTCGCGTATTCTTACTACTCTTGTGTGACAATTCTTACCATACTCTTTGGAAGGCCAAACTTCATAGTTGTAATTTAGCTAAATTAACTGTAAACTCGAAACTTTTAACTGTCCATTTCAGATGAACTTGCCAAGCGAGTTGTATGACTGAGTTATCTCTGTAGTTTTGGTCAAACACCACGTATTGATAGACTGAGATACACAACTATATAGCAAAATAACATAAAAACAGTGGTAACTTAGGTGTAACTGCTTACATTACATGATACATGTGTAACTTTATCAAACGAAGTTCTTATTATACACATATATCCAACTATATTCAGAAGGAATGAGTGATCACATTTAATTCAACTAGTTTACAAAGAGAGTGCTATGTGAACAGTAAAAAGTACAAAATTGCAATGAAGAATGAAGAAGCATAGCATTCCATTGAATTGCAGCCTATGTGGAGAATGTAACATTGAGAATATCTGGAAACTTCTCTTTGATTGCAGCTTTAACTCCTGATCCAATGGACTCAGGTCCAACATACTCCACAACACAATCACCACCTTCAACTGATAACACCTCCACGCTACCACCGTAATTCTTAATCGCCGGTCTCAATATCTCTAGATGATTATTCACCGCCTAAAATCCACAACCAAACCATAACAAATCATAATTCATATCCAATTCTATTATAATGAAAGGTGATTTAGGTTTAATTTATTCATTTTTTCGATTTATTATCGGTTTATTATTCTGTTCGAGGAGTCATTGTCTCATAGAATTAAAGTAAATAATAATAATAAAAGCAAAAAGAATGACCTCAACGGTTGTTTCCCTTGATTGATCATCATCGAAAACCTGAACGATATCTTTGATTGAATCTCCAAATTTTTCCTTAAGAACTCGTTCGATTCCCATTTTCATCGTTGTGGTTGAGCTAGGACAGCTTTCGCAAGCTCCTTGTAGCTTAAGAGAAACGACGCCGTTTTCAACGGATACGACATCGACGTTTCCTCCGTCAGAGATGAGGTAAGGGCGAACATCTTCGAGAACGAGGTCGACGTTTGAAGCGGTGAGATCGAATATCTTGGCGGAGTATAATCCCGGAGAAGATTGGTTCTGGTTGGCGGCGGAGGCTAATCGGATTACTTTGTTTGAATTTCTTGAGTTATGATTTAGATTTGTGAAATTGAGATTATTGGAGTGGTGATTGTGTTGTTTTTGTGGGTTACTGAAACTCGGTTTCGTTGTTAGGGAACAAATTGGAGTTAGAGTCGCCATTGGTGGAGCTTCCGGAGTTGTGGGTAATGCGCACAGTGAATTATGACTAGTTTTTTTTAGGGGATGTAATGGGAGGGATCTTCATTCCACACCAAGTTGTACCAGACACCCAAAGGGGCTATGATGACGCATTTGTCTTTATTATAAATTATCAGAGTTTTAAAAAGAATTGTTAAATTGTGGATTTTTTAATGCAATTATTAGATATTTCGTAAAATTTTCAGTTTGCAAGTAGAATTGCCAATTTATTGCAAAGTTATCAAATATTTTGCAAAAAAATGTAGAAATGTCTAAGATTTGAAAAATTGTTGGGAAGAATTTATTTTTTTTTGAAAAAACTTTGAAGAATTATCGAATTTTTGAAATATTCGAGAAGTAGTCGATAAATATTTGAAAAAAAATCGAAAACAAAATAAATTTATTGGATTTTTTGAAAAATTCGATATTCACCAAAATTTTTAGAAATTTGAAAAGTTCGATAGACAGTAATGAAATGTTTAAATTTTTTTTTAATAATGTTTAGTGGATAAAACATATAGATATAATGCAAAAGTGTTATAATATCATTACAAAAATAAATTATGTCAACTTCTTAGTTATTTCTTCCTAATGTCTAATATGTCCCGAATATGTTGATCCCCATGCTCTTGCAACTTCACTACGGTTCTGTCTCCATCAGTCTGTGACGGGAGACAATGGACAATTTAGTTTCAACTTCATCTACACCCAATGATTGTTGTTAACAAAGTCAACTATAATCATTTGTGTTTAGTTGAAGCTATGCATGGAACTATAATGGGAAGAATGTGATGTTAAGGTTCCTGGACAACGAACCAATATAATACTGTATCTAGAAGTAATAGGGTAATCCATATTAGGAATCATCGTCCACTTCTTATAACCCTGCACACCAAAGCTACCAACCTGCAATGCACTCATAACTTTCGACACTGCATCATAAAACAAATTGGAATATAGTTTATGGTGTTGATAAACTTCAGTGTCTAACTACATCCGAATCAAAGGCTGATACTCTTCGCCCCATCAAAATGAAGTTGTAATACCCCAAAAACCACAATCTCAATCATCTCCAACATCAACAATGTATTCAATGTACTGATACAAGAAAACAGGAAACTGAGACAAATATTTTAGTTTTGAAGACACGCCACACAATTGACTTTTAATTGGTTTTGTACATGATCTCTCTGTACTCTGAGTTTCATGCGAGCCCTCAACATACTCTCACTTGTCACACCCTAATTTTGTCCAAACTTTTTTTTCCTATAGTTGAGGTTTTTGTTACATCATCACCATATAACGACTCTCTCATTTTTGGTATTTGATTTAAGGTTGTGTTGCCTTTTGAGGACATGATTCACTTGAGATTGACTTGCGCATCTTTCAATTAGGGTTCAACATAATAAATGTTACTTTGATTTGAGTTCACTTGGTTGTCATCCATTATTTTTCGTTTTATTTCAATTTTTTCAATAAGTTTTGGATCTCGCTTAGTCTATGTGACTAGTGAGTTCATTTTCATTCAATTTGCATAAGTTTAAATGTGGAGGTTTCTTTGATAAGAAACCATGGTGCTCAGTTTTTTAATTTTTTTAAGGTGGCTTAAATTTAGGTACTTTTGAGAATTTGGGTCATAATTTTAACACTTGAACGTACCCATTATTTGATCAAAGCAATTTTGTTACCTTGGTTTAAACCACCATTTCGTTTTCAATATCTTCATGTTGCCGAATTGAAAGTTCATTCGTTTCTAGAATTCAAAGAAAATGCAAAGATGAATTGACTTTTAAAGTAAAACGCATATTCATTACAACCACATGTATGTTTACCATTTTGTCACAAGTTGTCACAAACTGAATTTTATGCTAAGCCATTGGAAACATCCATATAATGAACAACAAGATTAAATGCACAATTAGATCTTCATTTTATGTCATTCATATTAAGTTTTTAGACTACAAAAAGAAAGCCTAGTTGATACAATATTCAACCATTAACTCCAAAGTCATACAAGGTTCTTAATTTACAAATTTCAAATAGATACAAGTCTCTTGTAAGGAAAGAACTTTCTTTTCCAAATCAGCAGTCAGTGCTCCGGAAGCGTCTACAACTAAGTCTTCGTGAGGATTGTAGAAACCTTCATGATCATCAAAATGGATTGGAGGGGGAACCACACCAGCACCAGGAGTAGGGACTGCGCTTGCACCGGCAGAAGTAGGGATTGTGCCACCAGGAGCGGGGATTTATCTTGCAAGAGTAGGAATGACACCAGCAGGAGTGGGGACTGAGCCTGTAGTAGTAGGAATTGGAGTGTTGGTAGCGTTTCTCTCTACAGCTTGTCTCATCTCTTCTTGTCCTCTAGCCATAGCCTGGATGACTTTCATTAGTTGGCCCATCTGAGTCTTCATATGGGTAATCTCTTCCCTAAAAGTGGCTTGATTATGCTCAATCTGATCCATTAGTAATCTTCGATTGCCACGGGTGTAGTAGGGACGTCGAGAAGTCAGCTTGTTTACTGTGAATGGAGGTCAAGTCTTTGTAAGTTTTGGTTTTGTTTTATGGAATGCAATATGATGTATGAATATGTTATGCGCAAAGCTCTTAGTATCCTTGTTAGTATTGTTGATAATATAAACATTTTCCATTACAATTAATCAGAAGAGATATAATAGAATGAAAAATTTCATTCCTTTAAGGCTCGAATCCGAGTTCAAATACAAAATTCAAGAGGTACACTTATTAAACAAATTACAAGTCAACCCTAAAAGTGATTCCTTGGGCTCCGCGAACTACCTCTAAATCAGTAACAAGCTCTTCCACTATTTTCTTGCAAAACTTCACGAAGTCGAACACGAGGACAAGAGTGTTTTCCGGAGTCATCACTTGATCTGCAACCTTCAATTTTTCAGGGATTTGCTGAAGCACAAAACTGGAGAATACAGCCAAGTTCACATATTTGTCCTTCCATTCGGCATAGAGGATTTGGAGATTGTTGATGATGTCATCTCTTTGAAGTACCACAACTTCTACTTTGCGACAACTTTCTTCCCAATAATGGCAACTATCCTGCAACTCTAGGTAAAGCTCATCATAGATTCCATCCTTCAACATCTTGATTTCCTCCGTAGCTCTACTCAATTGGGACTCTGCTTGTATGAAATCTCGCTGTGCATTCTCCTTTTCCAACACTTCACGAGCTAACTGATCCTTGCAGTCTTTGATAATGTTTTTCAGCTTGTGAATTTGGGCTTCAAAGTTTTCCCTTTCATCTTTCTTCATCTGGGTGACTATTCTTACATCATTTTGTAAGTCTCTGACCTTTTTCCACACTTGGTCCAATTTATCATTTTGGTGATCCAATTCTGCATTGGCATTTTTAAGTGCTCCACCAACCCATTCTTTCTTTCCTTTCTCTTCCCTAGCCCTTTTCTTGCTATCCTCAAACTTTTCTTTCAACTCTTTGCTTTTGTCTTCCCAAGCTCCGCTTTTCTACTTAGTCTCATTGAGTTGAATTCGGAGTTGAGTGTTCTCATCCTCAAGTTCTTGGACTTTAGACTTAAGTTTCTCCATGTCTTCGGGTAAGATCGGCTCAGGTTCAGGATTCAGTGGGAAAGCAGATGCATCAAAGACAAAAGGTAATCTGACTTCTTTCGCTCTCTCTTTCACCCATTGAACATAGGGTTCACGAGAAATGATATTCTTCCTCCCATTGTCTAGATTGCTTCTTATGATTTTCGTCCATGCCCTTCTAGCCTTTCTTATAGCTGGATCATTTGCATCGACCGTATTGACAAGGAACGACACCAAACCTTCCTCTCTAGGAGGACCGTCCATGGAGTGTCCAAACTGTCTTTTGAGCAGAACTGGGTTGTAATTGATGTAACCTCGCGTTCCCAAGAGAGGCACATTGGGAAATTCTCTGCAAGAAAAGATGATATCTCTAGTTTCCTACTCCCTCTTGTACCATGTGATAGAACTGGCAGTGACTGAAGCGAATCTTTGAGGCCATGATAATTTCTTGGAAGCGAAAAGACCTTTTTCAGGCATTTGGGTCCTTAGCCACTTATGCAAGAGTGGGGCGCAACAGAGGAACATTCCACCTCCTTTTGTATGTCTTGTATAAAGTGTATGGTAGAAGTTACCTAGGAGGAAAGGCATGGGGTTCCCGGTCAAGAAAATTTCCACCGCTACTTGGTCCATAAAATTTTCCCCATTTGGAAATATCACAACTCCATAGACCACGAGTGCCAAAACTGAACCACATATTTCCCATTTCTCTTCTTTGGCATACTTCCATGCTTGTTCTTATAAGAACTTCCTCGAGAATCCCCTAGCTCCTTTGGGTTCCCAATTGGCTATCACGTCTCCTGTGGGAATCCCTAAGGCAGAAGCCACTTTCTTCAAAGTGAATTCTTCTTCAAGCTTCGGAAAAGGATTGCAATTTTTAATGGAGAGGTTCAAAATCTTCTCGAATTCTTCCAAAGTGGGAGCTATTTGAAAATCAGCAAAGGTGAAACAACGGGGAAAAGTGTCATAGTACTGAGCCAAGGCTGTGAGAGCTTCATATTTTATCTTTTCTATCAACAAATCTAAGATTCTCCCATAAGAAGTGTGAAATTTGTTGTGCTTGATGGCGGTGATCTTGGAACTTAGAGCTTTCAGACTGTCAATTGAAGGATCTTTGTATTTGAAAGTGAAAGTAATTTTTATGTCAGTCTTCTTGTTTAGTTTCATCGTCCCTAGATTCACATTCATCATGATTGCTTTTGAAAAATGCTTATATCTGCAACAAGAACAAGACACTGAGAGCTTTGTTTTTATGAAGTATGTATGTATGAGCGGATGCATTAATGAAATCCAAGCATGTGGGTTCATAAGTCTAAGGTATGGATATGGCCGATACTAACTACTTTATAAGTAGGTTTTCACAAGGCGTGATCTATGGTTTAATAGGGATCCCAAAGTCATGGATTCATATG